CTAATACACGTTGCTCCAATTGATTGATACTTTAACAGTGGTGGTGGGAGGGGGGTAAGCTTAACACTCGAGGCCTGTATTTATACTTGGGACGTGTGCCAACGTTCGTTAAGTTATACATCCTTAACTAAGCAATGCATTTACATTTACACGTAAATCCTTGCATAGGACTGTATTTGTCCATTTGAATTCACACATACGTACTGTATAAAGACATTATAAACCGCTCTCCATATTTGTTTCACTAACTCGATTAAATTTTATAGCACACTCCTCGCAAAGGTTCAAAACTTGTTACGAGCCTAGTTTTCATTTTCTGTTTCCAATCTACACCAGTTAATTATTCTGACAAAATGACACTGGAAGCATAATGGGCTTTGAAATGTTTACTTTTTTGCAGTACATTATTTAATATGAAACAGGCAATGCAATTTCAACGACATGTTTTTGTTATTCCTCTATTAAATTTTTTAAAAGTTTACGTGACTGCAAAAAACATTGAATAGTTTGAAATTAGGCTGCTGTTTGTTTAAAAAAAAAAAACCTAAACGGGCTGGTAGCTGCGCGTATCTGCTTTAGCGGTAACCGTTAAGTAGCTGGAGTTGTTAAATACAGACACCTCGGAATGTTACAGATGATTTGCCTTGACAATTACGAACTTTTAACTTTTTTTACAATGACCAAAGTACTATTACTTTTTTTTTTGCCCACGAATTGAAGAGTAACACGAATTCAAATCAACCTCTGCAGAGTATTTAAAAACTGCGGTGCTGTCGTTCACCGTGGCGACAGCTTAAACTTAAACGAGAGAGAGGCGCAAACGGGCAGCGTTGACGGGCAGCGTTGAATTTTGCTTCAACGCAGTAACTCATCAGCAGCACGGGATTGATGAATTTTGTTTTATTAGTATTCAAAAGCCACTATGTAGAAGGGTTCGAAGAACACATGTGCATATAATTATCTCATTGCAACTTGTTAAGTACTTAATTATCAACACTTTTATAGTTTTTTTCCTCATTGTTGACTGTACCCGAATCCCTGCGATTGAATGCAGCGTGGCGGTGTGTTGACATTAAACACGGATGCACTTGGCATACATTGCAATTAAATGTGTGGCTCAGTAGAATATTAAATCACTTCTTCAGACGTCGTCTCCATTGAATGAAATCACGTTTTAAGATGAGCAGGATTGATGATGTTTGGGCGCGTTACCTCATTTCCTAATCAGAATATGTGTTTATACTCTAGGAATCCAATGAGCTATAATGCTCTTTTTCACAGATGTCCAATACGTGCAGGTCAAAACGTTACAACAAAAAATGCAAAAACACGATATGAGTGCAAAGTATAGTAAGGGTAAACGCATTACTTAAACAAATATCCCCAAAAAACTAAACTATTGTTTTATCTTACCAGGTAAAGCCCACTGAGGTATCAACTTATTTTTCAGAAACGACCTGGCTATCACAAATGATGGCTCAACAAATTGACTGATCGCGTTAATCTCGCACCTCATATTAGCACGATTGGCTACGTGGTTCAACAAATATAGTCTCCTAGGTCAACGGCCATCATCCCTTCTGGCAGCGTGGCCAACTCCAAGCCACTTGTGTACGTAACAGTCATGGTAATGTCTCTAACTTTGCGTGTGTTCTCCTAGCTGTTTCAAGCGGGCATCTCTCCACGATTTTTTCACACTTTGAAGCCTTTGTTCTATGTCCACGTTTTTTTTTATCCAAATGCAACATCTCTGATACACACATCTTCTTTTAGGCACATGAGTATATTACTGTTCATGTCGAGTATATTTTCCTTCTAACCTACTCCAATACACCTTCTCTACTGCAGTCCACTCGCGTGGTGGTTGGTTACTGTGCCATTGGCAATCATGAGATGGCTCAAATTCTCTCGAAATGTGCACGCTTTTACTTCCACCGATCCAAATTTCGGAAGAAAATATCTTCCAATGTCACCGTGGATATCTTTTTCATCAAAAAGCGCAGCACTCTTTCTGGCTTCCCCTTTCTCACGTGCGTTGCGTTGCTCTCTTCATTCAATCTCATCGTCACATTTTTTTTTCACTTCCGTAAATGGTTACGAAATAGTCTTCTTTCTTTAAACCACGTGTACGATTCATCACACTTTGGGTAAAATACCAATGGGCATCAACCACCAATACGCCTGTGGCCTTTATGAGTGAGAAAGAGTCGCCTTGACTCAACGAAAACTGATTTCGTGATCCAAGGTGCTCAATTGGCTTACGCCACACGGGGACAGCTGCCACGGAGGGTGGGGTGGTGGGGGGGTGCCTTTTCAAATGTTTTAAATGAGATGCCATGCACGTCGCCTGTCGCGTATAAAGTGCCCTGATACACCGCGATGGCATGTAGGGAGTGCTCCAGCAAGAACAAATCGTCGGCATTTCTATTAAGTTATATGGGCTTTTATTAAAAGATGTATACTTTAAGGCACCTCGAAGTCATCGAGTTGCTCTGGGTAATTGAAATTTCAACTGAATGCAAACTGGTTCAAGATGAAATGTGCTAATAGAAGATATAGCTTCCTAAGAAGGGAAAGATTTGGTTAAAGTGAGGGTATTATCCCCATGTGCGTGTCTCGGGTTATTGCTAAATTTAGAGCTATCCAGCTGTGGGTGCCCACAAGCTATTTTCCCGGAGAGGGCTTCATTTTCATGACACCGTTATGACTTGTGAGGCATAAAATATTATAATCTTCAATTCGGTGGACCATTACAGTTCCAGAATCGGAATAAAACACATATTAGTGGACTGTATGAAGCATTACAGATGAAGCATTGTTGTAGTGTGAAGCATTGTTATTGTGTGAATCATTGTTATTGTGTGAAGCATTTTTATTGTGTGACGCATTGTTATTGTGTGAAGCATTGCTATTGTATGATGCATTGTTATTGTCTGAAGCATTCTTATTGTGTGAATCATTGTTATTGTGTGAAGCATTATTGTGTGAAGCATTTGTATTGTGTGAAGCATTGTTATTGTGTGAAGCATTGCTATTGTATGATGCATTGTTATAGTGTGAATCATTGTCATAGCGTAAATCATTGTTATTGTGTGAAGCATTGTTATAGTGTGAAGCATTGCAGAATGTTTGCCATACAAAGTAGAATAACGTTATTATACCATGATATGAAACAAGGAGTGCACAATTAAGTATTTAAAATATAAACGTATGATGCACGTACAGGGAACACTGTTTTTGATCGTGTTAAAAACATTTAAATTATTTATTTGTTTTACATAACGCTATCCTGCTATAGGCTAGTATATTCATGAGTAGTTGCAATGAATAAACACTCATTTTACTCATTGACCTAGATAAGAATACAATTTATTTACTTGTAATGATTAATATCTAAGTTCGTCCCTTCGATGTCATGACACCTATTCAAGAAGCCAGGTCAGGTGATACAATTATTAAGACTTTCTGGATTTTCCTGATGATGCTTGATGCAGTTTCAATCCGATCGCTAAATTTGGTTATGACATTCCTGCTTCGACTTACTGTTGAGCTGACAAGGCTCGTGTGTGCACAACCGTTTGATTTGTTTGGCTGTGTCGGGTGGTAGAGAGTGACACAACACACATGTGGTCAAGATCATTGTGCGACCTCGCCCAAAAGTCGGTTATTAATCACAGTGACAAGCGCTTTCTCCAAATTTTTATTTTATTTTACCAATGTACATTGTCATGTGATGTCTTTTTATGGCTGTCTTCATTCCAATCAGTTTGGAAATTAATTATTCCATTTTATGAACCCATCCAACCAGCCACTGTAAATGGTTATATATTATTTGTTGGTGATCAATTAACAACGTGAGAAAAGTTATCAGCTGTGTCCGTGAAATTGATGTTCACCAACAAACAACAGCTACATGCTTTATATATTTACACATTTTGGTAATATTACATTTAAACCCCTTGTTTTACGTCGTGTGTATTATGTAATATAAACATTGTATTATTAATAGGTTGCTTGATATAATTAATGCTGCATAATTGCTTTTATTTGCCTTATTTTGCCTTTATCAATGCATCATACTGGAATGGTTAGGGGAGAGTTAAAGACGAAAACATTCAACAATATTTATTAATGAATTAATTGCATTATCCATTCAATACCACAAACCATCATTTATTTTCACGTGTTGGTCTGGCAAAACCAGTGTTACCAATTGTAATTATACAAAAGCTGTGTTTTTGTACACGGTCACGTTTATTTATTTATTTTCTTGCTTGCAATGGGCCGAGAAACACAGAGCACCACTCACTGATATAATCCAGACTCAGGCGTTTCTCACCGGCGCTCGGAATGTAGACACGGCAATAGTAGATTGGTCAGCTGGCCTAACTATTGCTGGCAGAGTGCTGGTGCACATCTTTAACCCAGTGATTTGTAATGCGCATTTGAGAAAGCCTTATGCAGGACGATGAGGGACAATAACAATGCAATACTGCAAATAGGTCTTTGACATCTCTGTGAGGAGTTTGAGTTTTACCTCCCCCCGATGCATGCATTTTCTCCGGGCAATCCACTTTCCAGTTTCCTTCCTCCGATGCATGCCCTCCCACGCATGACTTTTCTCTGGCCGCTCCAGTTTCCTCCCTCGACACAACATGCTTAAGGATTCAGCAAAACAAAACAAACAGCACCGTTATGAAAAAAAGGAAGCTTGATAAAGTAAGTGAGGCTTCCCAATTTATATAACAAACAATGATTCTGTTTGTAGAAGGGAGACCATTTTTTGTTTTGCTCCTGCAGATGGGAGCACACCCCTCCGATGCTCATTTTTCTCCCCATCTCTGATGAATGCAGTCCTTATTCAGATGATGAACCCACATGGCGGGAGGGGAGGGCAGGGCCAGTGGTCAGAGCAACGCAGCGCCGTGCGGTGGTACCCATGCATCGTGCCGTGACGTCCCATTCCTGCTGCTGTGCCTAAAGTTTTTTTTATGCAACAGGAGAGTCGTAGTCCTGCGCGTGGACGTACGCAAAACAAGACGGTGACGTACTTCAAAAGTTACGAGTTGGCGTACGACGGACTTGTATGCAACCCACCCCAGGTGATAAAGAGGCCTTGGACAATGGGATGGAAGTTACTTTATTCGTGATATGAGGTGGCCGGGTCACTCCCAGCGGTGATTCTAATCCCCATGTCGTAGCGTTATGCTGGCACCACTGAGTTCCTGAGTTCAAATACCAGACAGTCGTCCGTGTGAGATAAAGCAGTTTCTCACTGGTATTGAGTCGATGGTCTGTCTCACCAATGTTAAAACATCGTATACATTTCGTTGGTCAATCATGAGGTCCATAAATTGTATGATGGTCCCATGCTCAAGCCTCTATGTTGAAATTGATTCACGTCTATTGGCTGGACATGGCAGATTTATTGGGGAGATAATTGAAAGTAATTATTTCATGTCAACGTCTTCTGGGATCACTTTCCCGATTAAGATATTGCTCTGTTGTTTCTAGGAGGGTCTCAAATAGGGACAAATATTTTATCATGTGACCTGAAGTGGTTGGCACCGTGAGGATACGTTCAAATTTTGATGGATCTCAATTGTAAACTCCGAATGCATATCATTCAATCGCTAGCTGTTCGAGAAAATCGGACACATTTTCGTGGAATAATTTGAAGAAAAAAATAAAATTATCTTTTTTTTTTCACTGCGGCAGGAGATCCGCCGCAATGCTGGCTAAAACATCACTGCCATGTTCACATCGTAGCTGCTGTTGTAATGGCAGACTCTGTGCGAAGCCCAGAGAACATCGCGGCCTCGCACTCCTTAGTCCATGTTTATGTTTTTTTAATAAGCGCAGACAGTCCCTCTGCTGATTTAGAATTAATCCTTTCCCACGGATGGAGCACATAAAGCATTTCACTGAGGGATCTTGCTTCCTCGCACTGTCAGGGATTATGTTTGTTCTGCAACATATTTGCTTTGAAATTCTATTTTTTCATACTGCTGAGAATATGCCCCTATAATAAGATGAGACGAAAAAATACCCACTTATACGTAACGATCTATGACAGCATCTTTTTTTTCTTTCCTTTAATCTAGGTGGTAATTTCATCCCATTGCTTAATTATATCGTCTTTGCATGCATCGTAAATCTTTGTGTACAATGTTTGCTATTGTGCTGATATGTGCTGCTTTTATGTGATTTTAAGTTGCACACAATCAACTGCTTGAACAAAGAATGCACAAGCAATGATCGAGGTCTGAACCCGAAACGTTAAACACCGTTTCGAACCAGCAAATGTTCAGGTGTATGACGTTCACATCATCTAAGTGCAATGTACATTGTTTCCATTTTTTATAAATTGATCAGGGTGTGTTGTTTTTGTATAAATGTACAAATGTGATGCTAAATAATGAAACTATAGTATTTAAAATGTAAACACTGATTTGACGTATTTAAACCACACCTGTTTTTTTTACTATGCTAAGCTTTTCGTTAATGGTATAACTGCCTTTTTGATATGTGAACCAATGCTACAAGGTAAGTAGAATCATCGATGAATTCACATCTGCGCGGATTGTTATACAGATCTGCTTACTAACACCACAACACTCAACAATTCCCACATTCGTCATTCAACTCCACCATGGTTGCCTTTATTTATCCGAGTACATTTATTTTTGTGTTCAATTGTCCCCCCCCCCCCCCCTTTAATTTCCATTGAATGCAGGGTCACCACCTCTCCCCACTGTAGACCAAACCCAGACATATTTATCAGTCAGCACGAGGTCTCTCATCAAAACGGTGCGGTTTGCCGTAATGTGGTTCAACGCAGTAAACACCGATACCGGATCTAGATACAAATCAATTCCTGCAACCTGAACACAGATCCCATTTTACCGGACTGCCTGGGTCAAACCCGGACAGGTGGAAACCTGAATTGAATGAATGCCTTCTGACCATGAAATCCTGGCATCATGGCGCTTGCTTGTCGCTTACAAATTATACTAACGTTTGCACAGTGTACGTTGTTGCAGTTATTCAGTTTGCCTTTGTACACCCGTGTTCCCCATACTTTATATTTTCTTGTAGATTTGCTTACGGTGCAGCAGCTCCGTTGTTTCAGAATAAGTTGTGCGCCACGATTGGCAGGGTATCTCCGTTCAGCGCTGTCTGATGCCGCACAGTCATTTTGAGAATTGGCCGAAAATCCTCGGAGTCGGCGTGCTCGAATGATGGGAGCCATCACGCGTTCCCCTCCGTTAAGTGAGAATTAATGTGACTAAAGCCATCGACCCTGCAAGCGAACATTGATCAAAACGATCCTCCCGGTCTCCGGAGCGACGACTCGAGCTTGCTTGCCACCGAGCAGAGTTTGCTCGCCATCAGCAGCAGTCACCCAAAGATACCTGCGGACCAATGCATTAAAGTACCACCATCCGCTGTCGATATTAAAGAGCCTGTGACACAATTGGCCGAATAACACTCGAGCGCGTGTGTGCGTGTCAGTTGAGTCGACAGATATTGTACATCTCTGAGATCAACATGGCGACTTCAAACAGTTTCATCACTTCTGATTCTCTTCAAGAGAGCTGAACATTGTTATGGTGTTCAAGAGAACCTTAAGTTATAGGCAAAGTTAGGCCTAGGAAATCATACTTACACCCTGCCCAACTATATATCTGGCAAGGTGGCTCAGTGATAGAGTGAGCGGCTTGCAATTGGAAGGTCGGAAGTTTAAATCCTGGTTGGGGGAGATTTGTCTCGGCCCAGCATCTTTCCAAAGTCTATAACGAATGACTGTGCTGTGGGCAAAGTCAACAGTGCTTGCGCCATGGATAGACTTTCTGCCGTCATAGACATATGGAATGAATGGCTCAGGGCTGTAAACGGGATATGAGCACTACCTTCAACGCTCATTGGAACAGGAAATCACTTTGACTTCGTACGCAAAGGCGGGCCCCGAGAAACGTTACCTCCACCCTTGCCCAAGCGCCACAAGTGACTGAGGCTCGCTGAAACTAAAATATGGTTTCAAGGCGCGATATTCGGACGTAACGTGCGCCTCAAAGATCACTCGTAAACAACGCAAGCTGGAATATTCTCCGAAAGGAAATGTTTTCCCTCTGGCTACTGACAGTGTCCTGGAGCACAGAAAATGATTTTTAACGGTTGTCACAAAGCTGAAAATGTGCACACACGTGTTTCCATTCGAACGGAGTTGTGGATGTAGCAATTTCACCCAATGCAGGTTCACTTCCCCCACGTGTCTCCATACCATGCCAGGAATCCAAATTTTACTGATCCCATCGATGGTATCTAAGAGTGCACTCAATAAGAGATATCACTCTACACGAACGTCCCCGTTAATGGTGCTAACTACCGTTAATTAAAATTCTGGGATTGTAGGTAGATGTGGTACGAGTGCATGCATGCATTTGAGCAGTGCCCGTGCTTGCTCCAATGCAGTCCTTGTACATAGATATTACCGACTTTGCGCAGTTCAGTTCAGTACTCTGTGCATACAGCGAGCAGGCAAATATCCTCCTGGCTTAAATGGGCAAGGGAGGGCCACTCCTCTATGTCAACAGTCCCGCAGCCAGTGGTACAAATGTCATATTCCTAAGGATGAGGAGGTCGGTCGGTCTCGCTTGACAGAATAACTATATTCTCATAAGGTGGTACTCGTTTTATCGACCTCTAGAGGGATGTTCGGCCCAGTTGACCCTTGACTGAGATTTGCACTCAACAACCTTACAGTCGCAATTCAAGCACTCTGATCGAGGTATTTTATGCCGCAAGTTGATGAAGGAGTTTTTGGATGTTCGGAGGATGATTGAATGTGAAATTGTTTTGCTTGACTGACCTTTGTAAAACGTGGCATGCGACTCTAAAATCTGAAGCCGACTCTGCTGAGGATGTTGATTGTGCTGAAGACGGTGATGCAGCAGCAGCAGTTACTGAGCACAGTGCCAAATGTCTAAAAATGTCAAGCAGCCAACAACAAACAGTACTATTCAAAGCTGAAATACACAATATTTAAACACGTCTCTTTAATTGACCAAGGTTATTATAATAGCTTGGGAAAATAGACGATGGCAGCGAATTTCAGAGTGGAGGAGTGCGAGGGAGGCAGGAAGAGAAGATATTTTACCTGCAGTGTGGTGGTTGAATACGATGTGGACGAGATTAAACAAATTCTGGACAAATTATTTAACACAAAATACTTTACTGGCTCTTGCGTGAGGCAGCTGAAACAGCAATAATTTTATATTTTTCTGTTAACGTGACTTTACCAAAATACCCAAAGAGTGGCAATAATTTGATTGATAAATATATTGCTGCGAGTTCAATTTCACTCGAGCCCATGCGACCTCCAATATTCTCACGTAACTTGCTTGAACCACAATTTGCTTTGGGAATGAATCCAACTTCAACTGGATCCTTATCAATGGCACAATGGATAGGAGTTGGCAGATTCCCATATTAGTTCCTTAGTCGTCATAAAAATGGATACTGGGTAGCCTTATTAATTTGCATTGACCGCGATCTCATTTGTGTTGGCACTTGGGCGGCACTGGCATACGGGCACTCATAATGTCACTGCACATTGAATGAGACTCGAGGACGAAAATAATCACCAGGACTGTACCCTGGGACAGATCGGTTTCCTTGCAGGGAGAGTACCTACATGAGTATTAGCATAGCGATAGTCAGTACTGGGGTCATTATAATTCTAGCCAGGGCCGTTGGGTCAGTTTAATTTAATGAGCACTGTCATTGAAGTTAAGTAGTCCGCTGTGCATAGTGGTTTCTTAATGTATTCATAGTTAATTAATTACAAAAATTGGAAGGGTGGAGGAAACACAACCCATGTTGTGTGATGTGCGATTAAACTTAAATTGAGGAGTTAGAATGTGACATTCTATCATGTACATCATTGTAATGCTTTCTACCTTGACACAGGGATATGAGAGTTTGGAAAGTAAATTTAACCCATTTTTGTAATGGCTTTCAACACAGAATTCCGAGATTATATATCTCTCTCTCTCTGGAGATAATCGCGAGCAGCAGCCAAAGCTTTCTGATCTCCAGTGATTAAAATTAACATATTGGCGATTATTTAGGCTTTTTTTTATAAACATAATTTTCACATTGACCATACATCTGTGACATAGATATATCATGCCTATTGTATATATGAATTATCATCGATTAACAACTGCAGGGAACAAAACAGATCTATAATTATGAAATTAATACTTTATCGCCTTAACTGTACAATGACATTAACGTGCATTGTTTATTTTTTTCCAAATAAAAACCTAAGTGACTTGTAGGCATGCAGAGGTAGTCCACCGTTATGCAATGGTGAAATGGAGAGACGTCGGCCAATTGTTGCAAATGTCAGAGGGCTTTAATGTTCACTTCACAGCAGACATTACACTTCGATAATTCCATCACAGCTGAAGTGGCCAGGTAGCAAATATAATTGGGCATAAGTGATCGTGGTGGCTGTGGGCCACATATCAAGCTCCAGCAGGCGTGACTGCAGGATCACACAGGCAGGAAGCCTTCATGTGCGCGAAACATAACCACGATCAACACACTGATGCCTGTAGGAGGGAGAACTTCAAGTAGGTTTCTGATCTCCAGTGCATCGCTTAAGAGCTATATTTGTACGTGTGGGTTCTCTCAGGGTACCTCAATTTCCACCGTAATTACTGTGGTTTTATATCCCAAAATAGATAAGCAGACAATACGCCTCCTTCACATATCTGTTCCTCCACGTAAAAAAAATAATTTGAATATTTTTTGCACATCCCATTAGCCAATACGTTGTGTGGTTTGGCGTGGTGTGGTATGTTTTGCGTGCTATACACAAAAGCAATAACACACCAAAAAAAGGTGCCTTAAGTTTCGGCGAGATGTCCCCCAGGTGAACGAAAGCAACGAACGACTGCGTCAACAATGAACATAACGAACCGGGCCGCAACGGACGGACGCACGTGAACAACTACAACGATAATAATCTTCGCCCGCCGCTCTCTCCCGCGCCCCGGCAGGTGGACGCCCAGGGCAACATCCTCCTCAACACACTGGAGATGAAGAACGAGATGAACGCCGTGGAGGCGGCCGGCGCCCTGCCGGACCAGCCCCGGGGCGCGGGGGGCGGAGGGGTGCCGTTCGACGGCTCGACGTCGTCCGCCGCCGCCGGCTACCGCAAGCCGATGGGCGGCGGGCAGGAAGCGCAGGGCCGTCACGCCGCCTCATACCAGGCGGCCAAGCGCAAGAGGCTACAGCGCCGCTCGTCCCAGCTGCGCATCAAAATCCCCGACCTGACCGACGTCAACTCCATCGACCGGTGGTCCCGCATGATCTTCCCCATCGCGTTTATTTTCTTCAACGTGGTCTACTGGACGTATTACATCAACTGAGTTCAACGGTGGCACGGCTTCGCTCGCTGCAGGGTTATCCCCCCTGTGCGCACGGATGTATGTACGGTATGCGTGTGGTTGTTCGGCGTATGCATCCCACGTCTGTGTATCCCAATACAGTCGCGTGTTTGCATACGTTGTATTTGAACGTACATGTATTGTACGTGAATAGCATTATCAAGTGTAGGCAATCGTGTGCCAATATCGTAGACCAACTTCAAAATTTAGATATCGTATACGACGTAGTCACAGACGTGATTAACCACACAGATCTACTTACTCCGGTCTCGTGCAAAAGCGTTAATGCATCTCACCGAGCTCCCCTACGTGGTTAGATAAATGACATGGTATATATATAACAAACACAAATACCAATCGACAATAATTTGTGTCCAACCTCATTGATACATCTAGTTTTTTTCTTTTCTTCAAACACGTTAGCAAGATGTTAACAACTGCTCATCTATCAAGTCTAGTGCTCTTTCCATAACGCCAAAGATGGTGAGCGATGTTATGGTGCCATTTCCCGGGTGTCTTGGTATTATTCATCACCATATGTTTTAAAAAATACAGCTGCATAAAAAAGAAGGCAAAAAAGCTTTGCATGAGAAAGGATGCAGTTAATGTGCCATATACACTTTTATAAACCCTTGTTATTAAATAGTTCTACTTGATTTGTGATGTTCTAAGCATGCCTTTATTTACAGTTGAGCATAAAGAATTGAAAGAAAAAACTGCTTGTTTTTTTTACACAACTGGGAAGATGATAAAACATCAAATAACTATCACCAAAGCTATTTGATATTATTGTTATCAGGGCACTCTTCCAAGAGTTGCTAATGCATCTCACGTCGAATTCAATTGTATTTTATTATGCGACTAAACTAACTGCATCATCTGATTTTATTACCCCCGCCCAACAATTATATCCCAATTGTGCTCATGGCATTTTGGGCAAAGCATGCCATCCGTTGTGGAACCTCTTAAAATAGCAGAGCACCACGGCAACATCACGAATTAACCTGTAAGTGCCATTGCAGCAGGCCTTTACCTGAAATCCTTTCCCTAAATCTGCTTTGTGCAACAACCATATTTGACTCGACAACTATATTTGACTCGTTCTGTGTGCCTACCAGTCAAATAATTCCGCAGAGCTGCGCTTTACCTTTATTTTTTTCTTTGAAAAATGTAGTTGCGGTCTTTACCTTGCCGAGGCTGCCATACGCACTTCATCGGATAATCTGGCCAAAAGTAGGAACAAATAATGTGGTGCCCGAAATATTAAAGCTGTTGGCTCATTTCCTCCCCCGTAGCCCAACGGCCTTCCTCGTGAGTCACCCAACCAGCATAACGAACATTGTCGTTACCGTGTTGGCATTGCATGTGCAAATCTGTTGTGTCTGGATGGTGAGACTGTGGAGCCCTCCCTCGTGAGGTAGACATGTCACGGAGAGACATGTTGGTGCAATGAGTTACTGCACTCGATCAAAGTGCTGCTTGTTAATCAAGTCCAGCAGAGTTATTCTCACATCTCGCTGGACTTAAAATATTAGCCTGTAGATGGGCAGTGCCAATGTATTTAAAATCTATTGTCATTATTTATTAATCAGTTTATGCTAAATCGGTTACGTGTGTCGGTTTCAGCATTAACAACTTTTTATTCGCATGTGATTATTATGTTTGTGGTAACCATCCCTTTCTGTAGGTTTATTTGCAAGGGTATCTGTTGTAAAATGTATGCATGTGACAAGCTTATTATATGAATATTTAATTGGCAGTTGCTACTTGCGTGAATATATTCTCATCTGTGTTACGTAGATCATTTACTCGAGTATAACTAGTTTTTTGGACGTGAGAATGTAAAGCATTCAGCAATGAGCGCATACTGTAAGCGAGTTTTTTTCTTTTCCCAACGTGAACGACGAATGTGAATTCACTCTAAATCAAAACATAAGTATAATTGTGTGTTTTTTTACATGAAAGACACAGCCGAGTTGAAATATGTTTACGAGACGACTAAATGAGCCCGCGGAAAAAAAAAGCCTTTGAACAATTCCCCTGGACGTTTCACAAATCAACTGCTTGAAAGTTGCCCCTCCACCGCTCCCCCCCCATCTCAATTCACAAACAAAAGTGGTGGAAAGACTTTATACATTGCCAGCTGGTAAACCTGGGAATGTCCTTGTCAAGGAGAGAATTATTACAATGAATCACAATTCAGACGTGCGGTCCTGCATTTAAACAGTGACACTTTGCGTAGCTATTGCGGGGATGCGGAAGACTTGCTTCTCAGATTGTTCAAGTGTCGCACAACAACCATGCAAATACAATTGGCATAAGTACTGTAATAGAGCGATAAAATCGTACACCCGACAAAATCACCGACCAGAAATTTGCCCATGTATGGTATAGGGACTCCTCTACTTTTGAACATTCGACTTACGAACTTTCAGGGATACGAACAAACCTGTCCGTATGGCCAGTTGCCTGTTCGGACCGATAGTCATAAGTTCAACCGCCGCGCAATAGATGGCAGTGGTGACATCTGCAGAACGTGAAGAACGAGTGGCATCTACATGAGATTATACAACATTTAAAGCAATTCCCCGTGTTTGGTGTACATGCCGTACAACATGTTTGTAATCGACAGGAGTGAAGTTGGAATTACGAACAAATCGACTTCCGAACAGACCTCTGGAACCTAACTCGTCCGTAAGGAGAGGAGTCCCTGATCGTTAACCCAGATTAATTGTATCGATTTTACTCAGTCGATCCATAAGAAAGAAACATCAAACATACCGGGGTTGATCATAATTGCGGGTGTATGTGTCGATTCATTGCCAATCGATCTATGGATCGAGTAATGAGGTGACACCCCTTTCATTGGATTGGCTAACATCAGCGAGATTGGTGATTCCATTGCAGTCCGCTTTCATAGTTACCACAGCGCTGTGCTGTGTGCACGGCGCATCTTAATTTGCAGCGCGTTGTCCTCGGCGCAACACGGTGATGGGATCTCATGGGTAGGACACACTCGTGAATCCAGGCATCAAATGTAGCCCGCGTGAGAAAGCCATCCACAGGGCAGTACATCAAGTAGGCGTGTGCAGGCGTGAGTTGTATTCTTTCGTACATCTTGGGGGGAATTTTTTGTGTCCACTCTCGTTATCTCCCACATGACACAAGTCGAAAAATAACTATTCCACAAGCAGGATCTGTGTACAGTGACCCTCTTAAACAAATAAACGTATTCTAGAGTTACTTAACATAGGCATTGAGGGTGTCGGTGAGGGTTGCCACCTGTGGAATGTTTGACCTGAAACCATCCGGAAATTTGCACCTGCATAGCTATCAACCCATATGGTTCACCCCGCATTCTTGTATAGGGAAATGGAGTTTTCAGGTCCATACGGCATACAGCTGTTTCAATACGGGAAAAAACATTAAATTGTTCTCTATTTGTGTTGCTCCCTTGTGATGGGACTTTGTAGGATGAACGTTGAGATTTATAACAGCACGGGGTGAACAATCAGGTCTGAATTGGTCTGTAATAAAGTAGGCACTGATAATGGGTTGACAGGTATGCATCTGTGTTTGGGTGGCAGACGTTGGTTTGTACCGAGATCTGGTACCCGGTATTGTCGTGTTGAACTTTATTACACCTTACAGTGTTGATAGTCGACCTAGGTTGACCGGGTTTGGTGTGTGCAAAAGGTGGCAACCCTCGTGTTGGTATAAGGCTAGAATATATTGACTTTAAATAGCGTCGGTTGGATACACAAACCAGACTTAAATTTTCAAATAAACCAATCTAAAAAAACTAAGCATTAAATATGTGTTGGAAATCGTACAGAAATTATTGGCTTAAGTTCAGATAAGGTGAAACGCTTGTCCCTTGCATTCGTGAGAGGTGTGTGGGTAATCAGCAGGAATTAAGGTGTGGAGGGTGTAGCGATGGCAGACGAAAAGTAGTGGATGCCCAGAGAGGAGGAGTTGGTAGAATAATTGGAGAGAGAGGCAGTGGTTGATTGGGCAGAGAGCGTTGGGGGTGGGTAACACGGTGAGATGATTGATATCAGCAAGTGAGACGGGAACCATGCCATTAAGAATGTGGACGATACAAAAAGGCAATTTGTCGTTGATTTACAGAAAAGGGCCTAGCATGATGTGATCACTCGTGTGTGTTTGAGTAAGAAGCTAAAGTGGAAGCATTCTCATCTCGAGCCAGGGGAGAAAAACACCCAAAATAGTGACTCCGGTGTCATTGTTTACAAAAATTTGGTCATATACATGGTGAAAGTTGCATAAAGTTGGTGACCTTGAACGATCATAGCAAGCCGTCATTGTCAGATAGTCATAAAAAAATATATATTCAGATAAAATGTGAAATGGCATGTCAATATGGGAAAAAAACCCACAATGCCATGAAGTAGTGTATGCGGTGTATGCACAGTTCTATAGCCACAACGTATTGCATTTCAATTAAAATGTTTTTTTTGTATAGGTGTGCTGTCATAATATACTACATTCCACAATTCATTTTGAATAACGTATATTTTATGATCAGATGCCACTTAAATCGGAAACATGAGACACCGTTGCTTACACAGGCGACCCACGCACCTACGACACACCCCTACCCCACTCGACATACACACAGCCCCCTACCCCACTCTTCACACCCCTACCCCACTCTACACACCCCTACCCCACTCTACACACCCCTACCCCACTCTACCCCACTCTACACACCCCTACCCCACTCTACACACCCCTACCCCACTCTACACACCCCTACCCCACTCTACACCCCCTACCCCACTCTACACACCCCTACCCCACTCTACACACCCCTACCCCACTCTACACACCCCTACCCCACTCTACACACCCCTACCCCACTCTACCCCACTCTACACACCCCTACCCCACTCTACACACCCCTACCCCACTCTACACACACCCTACCCCACTCTACACACCCCTACCCCACTCTACCCCACTCTACACACCCCTACCCCACTCTACACACCCCTACCCCACTCTACACACCCCTACCCCACTCTACACACCCCTACCCCACTCTACCCCCACTCTACACACCCCTACCCCACTCTACACACCCTACCCCACTCTACACACCCCTACCCCACTCTACACACCCCTACCCCACTCTACAACCCCCCTACCCCACTCTACACACCCCTAACCCCACTCTACACAACCCTACCCCACTCTACACACCCCTAACCCACTCTACCCCACTCTACACACCCCTACCCCACTCTAAACACCCCTACCCCACTCTACACACCCCTACCCCAGCCTACACACCCCTTCCCCACTCTACACACCCCTACCCCACTCTACACCCCCCTACCCCACTCTACACACCCCTACCCCACTCTACACACCCCTACCACACTCTACACCCCCTACCCCACTCTACACACCCTACCCCACTCTACCCCACTCTACACACCCCTACCCCACTCTAACACCCCTACCCCTCTACACACCCCTACCCCAGCCTACACACCCCTTCCCCACTCTACACACCCCTACCCCACTCTACACACCCCTTCCCCACTCTACACACCCCTACCCCACTCTACACACCCCTACCCCACTCTACACACCCCTACCCCACTCTACACACCCCTACCCCACTCTACACACCCCTACCCCACTCACACACCCCTACCCCACTCTACACACCCCTACCCCAGCCTACACACCCCTTCTCCACTCTACTACCACCCCTTACCCCACTCTACACACCCCTACCCCAGCCTACACACCCTTCCCCACTCTACACACCCCTACCCCACTCTACACACCCCTACCCCACTCTACACACCCCTACCACCACTCTACAACACCCCTACCCCACTCTACACACCCCTACCCTCACTCTACACACCCACTACCCCCACTCTACACACCCCTACCCCACCTCTACCCCACTCTACACACCCCCCTACCCCAGCCTACATACCCCTACCCACTTCTACACACCCTACCACCACTCTACACACCCCTACCCCACTCTACCCCCACTCTACACACCCCTACCCCACTCTACACACCCCTACCCCACTCTACACACCCCCTACCCAGCCTACACACCCCTACCCCCACTCTACACACCCCTACCCCACTCTACACACCCCTAACCCCACTCTACACACCCCTACCCCACTCTACACACCCTACCCCACTCTACATACCCCTACCCACTCTACACACCCCTACCCCACTCTACACCACCGCTACCCCACTCTACACACCGCTACCCCACTCTACACACCCCTACCCCAGCCTACACACCCCTACCCCACTCTACACACCCTACCCCACTCTACACACCCACTCACCCACTCTACACACCCCGACCCCAATCTACACACCCTACCCCACTCTACACACCCCTACCCCACTCTACACACCCCTACCCCACTCTACATACCCCTACCCCACTCTACACACCCCTACCCCAGCCTACACACCCCTACCCCACTCTACAACACACCCCTCTAACCCCACACTCTACACACCCCTACCCCACTCTACACACCCCTACCCCACTCTACACACCCCAACCCACTCTACACACCCCCTACCCCAGCCTACACACCCCTTCCCCCACTCTACACACCCATACCCACTCTACACACCCATACCCCACTCTACACACCCCTACCCCACCCTACACACCCCTACCCCACTCTAACACACCCTACCCCACTCTACACACCCATACACCCACTCTACACACCCCTACCCCACTCTACACACCCCTACCCCACCTACACACCCCTACCCCACTCTACACGCCCCTACCCCACTCTACACACCCCTACCCCACTCTACACACCCCTACCCCCCACTCTACACACCCTACCCCACTCTACACCCCTACCCCACTCTACACACCCCTACCCACCCTCTACCCCACTCTACACACCCCTACCCCACTCTACCCACTCTACACACCCCTACCCCACTCTACACACACCCCTACCCCACTCTACACCCCACCCCCTCTACACACCCCTACCCCACTCTACAACACCCCTACCCCACTCTACACACCCACCCCACTCTACCCCACTCTACACACCCCTACCCCACTCTACACACCCCTACCCCACTACTACCCCACTCTACACCCCCTACCCCACTCTACACCCCCTACCCACTCTACCCCACTCTACACACCCCTACCCCACTCTACACCCCCTACCCCACTCTACACACACCTACCCCACTCTACACACCCCTACCCCACTCTACACACCCCTACCCCACTCTACACACCCTACCCCACTCTACCCACTCTACACACCCCTACCCCACTCTACACACCCTACCCCTCTACCCCTCTACACCACCCACCCCACTCTACACACCCCTACCCCACTCTACTACCCCACCTACACACCCTACCCCACTCTACACACCCCTACCCCACTCTACACACCCCTACCCCAGCTACATACCCCTACCCCACTCTACCCCACTCTACACACCCCTACCCCACTCTACCTACCCCACTCTACACACCCCTACCCCCTCTACATACCCCTACCCCCTCTACCACCTACCCCACTCTACACACCCCTACCCCACCCTACCCCACTCTACACACCCCTACCCCCCCACTCTACACACCCCTACCCCACTCTACACACCTACCCCACCCTACCCCCTCTACACACCCCTACCCCACTCTAAACACCCCTACCCCCCACTCTACACACCCCTACCCCACTCTACACACCCCTACCCCACCCTACCCCACTCTAAACACCCCTACCCCCCACTCTATACACCCCTACCCCACTCTACATACCCCTACCCCACTCTACCTACCCCAATCTACACACCCCTACCCCCCACTCTACACACCCTACCCCACTCTACATACCCCTACCCCACTCTACCTACCCCACTCTAAACACCCCTACCCCCCACTCTACACACCCCTACCCCACTCTACATACCCCTACCCCACTCTACCTACCCCACTCTACACACCCCTACCCCCCACTCTACACACCCCTACCCCACTCTACATACCCCTACCCCACTCTACCTACCCCACTCTAAACACCCCTACCCCAGCCTACACACCCCTACCCCACTCTACACACCCCTACCCCACTCTACCCCACTCTACACACCCCTACCCCACTCTACAGGCGACTCCCGTACATACGACCTAATTGATTCCTGTATGACGGTCGCCAGTTGAGTCGTAAGTTGAATCCTCATCTCCCATCGAGCGCAATGTTATACTTTGGGGTTCAGTTCCTAGAAACCAATTACGTACCAAAAAAATACCAAAATTGACCAGGAAAATAAATTTAAATAACCCGAACAAACATTTCCTGTAACTTAACGTAACTTTTACAAACATGTATTAAGTAAAAACACATTTGAAAATGCTTAAGTGCTTTTCCGCACGTGCATCACATTTCCTCTTCTCAGAAATAGCGAAAGGCGAAACATTCAAAAAATTTTAAGAACATTTACAAAAAAGTGAAGAGCGTTGCGAAAGAGATGCGTTCGTTGTCGGCGCAGCTGCAGACTGACGGACTATAATACACATACGCTAAAGCAGCGGCAATATACTCGTTGTCGGTAGCAGTCGTTAGGCGTTCATAGATACGAGTGGGGGGGGGGGGTCTTACTGACTATAATATTTATCTCCTCCGTTATGTTAACTTCCTGTTATACGGAATACCATATGCATTCATTTATTTTACTTCCTGACCAAATAATATAAATTCTGCTGGCTTCCCAGATGCCACAGGCCACATGTTACGAACATTTGGTTTCACCTGAATTTAAACAGAAGAGAGCAACTTCCTCAACAAAGTTTTCAAAATATCCCCCCACGGCGATGAGTTTCAATCGCAGTACAGGAATTCGTCCAGAATAAGGGCTAAAGTGAATCGTAACGATTGGGTTTGAAAAAAAAGCAGATCCACCCATGATGCCCCATTCTATCGTCGCTGATAAACGGTCATGTTTTTGGATAATAATTTGTCAATTAGTTAAAGCCATACAATTAAAGGTGCCGTTGTGATTTCACACTCATGTCATCTCCTTCAAGCCACCTGCACTGCTAATGACACGGAGATAATGTTTCACAAAGCTGGGGAAGGATAAATTGCGCTCGATTGCTTTGCAGATCTAAAAGGCAGGGACGGATTGGGGTGGTGGAGCAGAGCGGGTGGAACGGGCGCGTGCTCACCTTGGCGAAATGCCGTTCAGTAGATGTGAAGGGCAATGGTTGTGTAGAAATATCAGGAGTGCAAACACGTGACGGTGAAGATAGTCTCCATCGATCGTGCCGACCGCGGCGAGGAAGTGTCTCATCGCCAGTGCTGCGCGTCGTTTGACCCCCGGTCCGCGTGTGAATTAAAACAGTGGCATGATACGCCAGGGTGGCTTTCTGGAGCAAATTCTACGAACCGGAGTTAATATTGAAATAAATGCCATTATCAAATATTGAGGCTATTATGCATGTGTGGCACTCCAGAGCAAAGTGCGATGCTGCAAAGCTCCAATGCACGCATCTCTTTGTGAACACGTTGCTCAAGAACTGTATCTACAGTATGCCGTCGGTCACAGAGGTCCTATCATTCGTAAAACATCTGCACAGTATTACAATTTATATCTTGATATCTACAATGTATACAACACATACATACATGTGTATATAT